ATAATAATAATAATAATAATAATAATAATAATAATAATAATGATACCTGTATGATACAAAAAATATGTGCATAATCTATACATAACAAAGGCATTTCTTTCAAACAAATATTATACCTAATCATATAATTAAATTATTTTTTGATCAACAGAAAGAAACTCAATATAGTTCTTTTAAAATTTGTTCGATTCTCGCACGTCAAGTTTAGTCATCAATAGCATAAATAATTATTCATTGACGTCCATACAATATTTTCTTGTAATAATATAATACTATAACCAATCGTAAAAGTATAATTTTCCTTTACAACTTTATAAAAATTAACGCACATTTAAAAGATAATGTCAACGAACATTTAACAACATCAGGGAAAAAACATTTTTACACCATCCAACGACAAAACTCAGATGATTTCAGCTATTTGGAAGTAAAATTAGGCTTGTGTACATGACTTGTAACATTTAAAAAAATTGACATTCTTTTATTTTAAGATTAAATATACGCCATTCTACAATTAAATTCATGATTTTTCCCTATTTACTTTGACTTGCATGACTTACAACAAAACATGATGAAATGCATTAAAAGCTAATAACGACCATATTGTAAATGCTGCAATAATCGTCCAACAAAAGCAGCAGAGTAACAAGTAATGCCCCAAAATATATTATTCAGAAAAATCAAAGTACCAACGCGCTGAAAAAAAAATTACGTAAAAAAACTGCTGTGACGCTTGTTTAAATATTTTTTTTTTAATAATTAGCACACAAGCAGTAGATGAAGAGTTTTTGAAAAATTCCAATATAAACTCAACATTTTATTTAAAATTTGTTGTTTTTCAAATATATTGGATCAAGTTCACACGATTATTAAACGTAAGCATAATAAACTCTTGATAATTGTGATTGTACAATGATTATACTCAATTGTTTCTTCTTTTTCTTTATAACATGATATATTATAGCAATCTACTGAAATTTCGAATTGGCCTTATCGTACATATTGCAAAAAACGAGTAACATTTATAAACCCTTTCAGTCACAACTTTGCTTGTTATTACTTACACGGTAAATTTAGTATTCTTCAACGTCAATGAGGATTACACTTAGTAGCACGTATATTAACTCAACAAACCTATCTAAAGATGTAATTTAAAATTATTGTTTGCAATAATTTTAAAAAGACAATTAAAATTTTCACGATTCAACAGACACGATCTATCTTGTACATTAAAAAAATTAACATTTTTAAATACTCAAAAAAAGTATTTAAATAACATTTAATTTGTCAACACTTTTACGTTTCTCTATTCAGGACTGAAAGGATTTGAACAAAGACTTGATCGGTAATTTTTAACATTCTCGTCTCATCCATAGCTGTGGTTTTAAACTGGTTTTTAAATTGCTTACAAGCCAACCAAGAAAAGTAGAAAGTCCAAATGTTGTTTTCCTCTAAACAACTATACCCACTGCTATAGGAGTGAGGGGCAGAGGAGACGGTGGTTAATTTAATGCAGATCCTGATCACCTCACTTTGGGAGACCACATCAGCTCTGCAATAAAAATTTAAGTTTTCTCCTTTAAACAAAGCCACGCAGTGCATCAGAAGTGAATGCTAATTGAGTCAAATTACAAACCTGCAATGGAGAGAGCTGGGGGTTCCGAGGTGAGACGGTATGTGTGACGTGCGTCGGTACAGAGGCTGTGTGCCTCCGGTAACTGGTGTTGCTGCTACTACTGCCTTTGACTTTACTGATGCGCCTAGTGATGTCATACGTCACGCTTGCCGACTCGCGCCGTTGTTGGGTCACCTTTTTTTTGCCAAAATTGTTTACATCCCAAATTTTAATTTTTCAATCATATAACTTTTAACGTGCCGAAGCACGTGATTAAAATACAACCACGATTATTCGTGGCTTGAGTATCAAAATGCTTAAAAAACTATTGTAAGTGTTATAGAGAATATGGTACTATTTGTCTACTAGAGAGACATTTTCAGTACAATGTAGTTTTATAAAGGGAAACTAGATTATAAAATTTTATTTCAAAACCTTTCAAAGTTGTTGGGTTTCGTAAAAAATTTTTCCATCGAAAAAGTGTATACAACCACTACCTTAGGAACCCTATATTACTTTTGATTTTGATTATTTAGCTATTAAATACTAAAAAGTGTGTACATTGCGTAAAAAGTGTTTAAGGAAGACAGTATAGCGCTAAAAAACAGTTAGTCTACATCACATTTACGTTAAGGCTCGAGGTATATCATGCTTTTAAGCTTTTTAAAAAAGTTTTCACAGTAATGAGCACACTTGTAGCACTGATTGGTTTTTTTCTATAAAAATTTCAGTTCTACACCATCCATCATAAAAAAAATTGATTTTAGTAGAGATCAAGCAAAATCAATATCCTAATCACTTCTATATTGATCATTTTTTGAAAATATCTTCAATGACAGTTCAATTGATTAACAGCTCTCTTCTGTACCATGATATTGTTGCGACAGAACAGCAGATCTAGGCCGAAAACTATTCCAAATCGATGTCATTAAACCATTTCGTTCAGTTACTTTTTGTTGCTTGTCATCTTTCTTCTCGACTAAATTACTCTCAGAAGACAGTATATTACTTGAATACGGCAATGACACGGATTTCATTTTTTCAAAGCCGTACAAAAACGAAGACCTAGTCTGATCGGCTGATAGTGATTTTTTTAAGTTAGCAGAGCTCTTTGGTCGCTCGCTGAGCAGTACTCCATCCACGCTCTTGGATTTGTTAATTTTCGATTCAATGCTGTTATGCACTCCTTGCACTGGATACACTGGCACGTAATTTAGCGTTGCTGATTTTTTCGTTAAACCCGCCAAGTCACGCATTACGTCCCCATGCTGTTAGTAACATATCAAATAGTGTGTTAGTTAAAGCGTTAGTTTATTTTGCCTTTAATAGTAATTTTTTGTTATTTTCAAAGTAAAATGCTAAAAAATTCAGTGACAGAATAATATGAAAATTTTATTTAAGTTATTAAATGTGATGATAGGCTAAATGTACCAATTATTACTGGTTCACATCAAGGTGATGCGTGAAAAAATTGTTTTTCAATGGATATAAAAAATTAGGGGAACTTTTATTGAACAAAAAGAAACTTCAATGATTACCTTGGACTTAAAACGGTTGTTGAAAAATATATTTTTATATTTATATTGTTGCAGACGAACCAAGTAGCTTTATAAATATTAGCTTTACAATAAAACTGTAGTATCCCACCAGTAAACCACTCTTTCCATAAAAATTAATGACTGTTGGCGTATCTCAAGCCTAACAGTAATAGGTACAATTATCCTATAAAACCAATAATAACCAGCTTTGTAAAAATGCATCCCATTACAGAGACATCTCTCATTGTACCTTTAATTGTTGTTGCAAACGATGTATTTCTTCTCGTTGCTCGGCTATTTCGCTGTCTCTACCTCTTAGTAGCTGTATCGTGTCGTTGAAAGCAGTGTCGTTCGTCTCTAATACCAAATGTGCACGCAACTGTTTATTTCTAGCATCCAATTGCATAATGTGTTGTTGAGCTTGAGCTACTTGTTTCGTCAGTGCTCCGACTTTTTCCTCCAGAGCAGCCGACTCCACGCACTTTTGAGAATATTTGGCGGACAGCGAAAGGATTTCTTGTTTAATCTCTTCCATTTCCTCTCTGCAATTAAGACAATCAGAAATCACAATCAGTCGCAGGAAATATACTCAAATTAACAACTCGCGAAATGTTGAAAAAAAAGTACTCACTCGTGCTCTTTGTGAAGTATACCAATATCCTCGCGAGCTTGTACTTGCTTGATAAACTCTTGTTTGAACTTGGCGATTTCTTTCTGTACCTCGTGCTCGTGTGCCTTTCTCATAGCATCCAGGGCAGCTAGAGTAGCCTGAGTCTCCTCCGAGAGAGCCTGCTCTTTTTCGATCCTCAAGTTCTCCAACTCTTGACGGTGCTTTTCCTCCAGCTCGGCAATGATTCTCCTGTGCGAATTTTCCATAGCCAGCAAGCCCTTCTCGCACAAGGCGCGCAGCTGCTTGATCTCGTCCTTGTATCGCTTGCGTGTCTCGGCATCGGTATCTAGCTCGGTGCTGATCGATCGCTGATAAGCGGCCCGCAGCTCGTTCACGTGGGCCGAGTACTCCGAGTCCATGGCGTTCAGTCGATGCTCCAGTTTCCGGGCTCTCTCGCGCAGGGAAGCTGCCTCGTGCTCGAACTGCGTCTTGAGGCTGTTGCGCTCGTTGTCCCACTTACCCTTGATATCGATCAGGTCTTGCTCGTGCGTCTTTTTAAGCTGTTCGAGCTCCTTGGCGTGCTCGGCCGAGAGCCACGTTATTTTGTCTTGTAGCTGCTCGCACTGCTTGCACGAGGCACTTCTCACGTTATCGGAGATTCGTTTTATTTCCTCGCGAATCTCCTTGCACTTTTCGCACACGCCCACCCAGTCGCTTGCCGATGCAGTTTGAGGACGCTTGAGGATGTCGATTTTATCGCGCATCTTGTCCTTCACGCATTGCTTCAGGCCATCGATACCACTGCTCACGTCAGCCAGAACCTGAGCCACGTTCTTGATCTGCTCTTGAGACTGTTGCCTATTGGAGATTTTGTCGTCGCACTCGTTCGTAAATTGCTGGTAGAGGTGGATGAATTCCGCATCGTGGATGGCATTGTTCTCAAAGGTGTAATCCTCGGCAAGTAAACTGGACAGAAGGTCTTCATGCCGAATTAGACTAGATACGAAGGACTGTCCGGTGAAAGCTGTCTTGGTCCTCGCACTCTCCTGCAGCACGCTAATTCTGGCATCTATCAAGGCCTTTTGCGCAATCACGTCAGTATAATCCGACAGCAACTGCTTCGAGTCGTACTGAGATTCTACGTTGCACTTGCTTTTCTTCAGCTGATGTAAGGTTTTCTCGTACTCCTCTACCAAGTAATGGATGGTGTTCTCCATCTCCTGACGCAGAATCGTTTGAGCTTTATCCGCCCAGGATTCAAAATCGACGATCTGCGCGGCGTCAAAACTCAAACAGCTATCCGCAACGGACGAGACATTTTGTTCGTAAATCTGACCACACCTCATGATGAAGTGGGACACCTCGACCTGAACCAATTCCTTATTGACGGTCTCTTGTGCGATGATCCACGCCTCCCGGATCCTCTTGTCTTCGACCAGTTTGTTCGTGGCCAGAGCTACTTGCTTATTGATTTCTTCCGGCTCGGACATGCTACAGGTTTCGGCAGCCAGTGCCTCAGCTAGACGCTTGAGCTTGTCGTTTTTGTAATTATCGACGATCTGATTGACCTCCTTCTGCCTCTGCAGCAAGAAATTCAGGGCTTCGGCTCGCGCCGCCGAAATTTCCGTCGAACGCTCCTTTGTCTTCGGTACGCCCCCTATAAGTACTAATTTAGTAGCTAACACCTTAGTTAGATATTGAATATAGCTTGTGTTTTGGTACGTTTTGGGCTTAGTTCCATTAACCTTAAGTTTTAAGCTTGAAATAAGCTGACTAGTTTCGACCAATTCACTCAAAACTGCGCCGCGCTCCAACGTTCCGTTCATTGCACACTTGATCTGTCTCAGAATGACAGACTCAAAGGCCAGCCTTTCCGCTGCCAGTTTAATTTTCTCTTTGTCATCGAGTTGGCCGGCTTCGGAGAGTTGCCGACGTCGATTCACCAACTCGTGCATTTTATTACTAAGAATAGCTTCTAGTTTAGTCACAACTACGCCTACTGACTCTGTGATTTGACAGCTAGCATCGTTCTTCTTGCGTTGATGCTCCACGCACGCGTCCAGGATCTCGTTGACCGCCAGCAGACACTTGTGCGCCTTCTCCTCGGCACGTGTGGAGCCCAGGTAGCTGTCCAATCGCCTTTTTGACTTGGCCACCGCGTGCTCGAGCCTCCTCAATCGAAGTACGACTTCGGCGGAGACGTCGTTGCGAGACATCGAGGACGCACCGCTGATCTCACTGCACTCGCTGGAATCCTTCTCGGCGTCGCTGGCCGTGGTTTCCGCCGTTACGTTAGCTACCTTGGATTCCAACGTGCTCAGTCGGATCAGGACTTTCATTGGTTCCGAGCTCGTAGCACTATCTAACGATTTCCTTCGCACTCTACTTCTGTCTAAGCTACGGTTCTCCTTCTTGGTACGCTCCTTCTTTGTGGAAGAACTCGACTCTTTGGAAGTGGTTTCAGGCGCAACCACTGATCGGGCGCCCTTGCCCCGCTCGAGCGCACTTATCTTCTTCTCGAGGTCCACCAGCTTGTCTTCGACTTCTTGAGATATTTGGAAGGACTCCCGGCCCTTGAGCGAGAGCGACCTCCGCTTATCTCGACTCTCCGCCTTTGTCAATTTTTGCTTTAACATTCGCACCTGCTTCTCGCTGCCTGCCAGCTTGTTCGTCAGATCCTGGATCTTTGCGGCCATCAGTTGAACTTGGGCTTGATTAGACTCGTTGGTTTGCGTCGATTCTTGTTTATGGGCAAATATCTCGAGCTCGAGGACGTCTTGCGTGGCGTGCGCCTCGCGCAACTCTTTGCGCATGGCACGAATCTCGAGAACTGCTTTTTCGAAACGACTCCTCAGTTCGTCGTATTCTTCCATAATGCTGTGTTGTGACGAGAAAAAGAGAAAAAAAAGAGTTTATTTTATGAAATTAATATTCGATTGCCAACCATGGAAAATTCATATATAGTTACCGTTCTTTATCAAACGCATTCAAATCCAAGTCTAGATCAATATTGGTCAGATCGCTCAGCGAATCGTAACTTCGGCCCCGTTCTCTCGACGACGAAAGACCATTTTTACCCTCCAATTCCCTTACCCGAGCGTAGAGTCGTTCGTTCTCCTCGATACCTGTTGAAAAGCAAGGGTATTTAGACATTTTGCAATTCCATTTGATTCTTATTTGGGGAGGAGTGGGACAATTGTTTTCAACCTTGCGATAATCTGTCGGTAAGAGTCGTGACTTCAGCTTGCAAATGCTCGACGGTTGTGTGACTAGATTCCAGCTGATTTGTAAGCATTTGACACCTCTCGCTCGTTTCACGCAGTATGGCTTCGGTCTCGAGAAGCTTGCGCTCAAGCAGCTCCTTGTCTCGACTGTAGAGTTTCTTCATTTTGTCCAGTTCGTCAAGCTGTTGTTTGTTGCGCTGCTGTTCGTTGCGCTGGACGTTGCCCAACACCTGCTCGAGTTGTTTCTCGGTCTCGGTCTTTTGCTGGCCGAGCCTCAAGAGCTCCGAGTGAGCGCTGGCTAGCTCGTTGCGCGCCACGTTCAGTTGTGACTTTAGTCCCTTGATCTCGCTCTCCTGGCGCTCGACGATGACTAGCAAAGAGTTAGACTGGGTCTGGCTGCCGTTACTGTTAACTACAGTGCTGCTGCTAACGGAGCTCTTGTTGCCTGTGACGCTGCTGCCACTGCCCTTGTTGTTGTGGTCCAGTATCGACTGGTCTCTAAACGTGCTCAACTTATCCTCCAGCAACTCGACTATTAGGTGCGGGTTGTCCGAACCGTTACCAGAAGACGATATCCTGCAGTCGTTGATGGAAATCTGGCTGCTGCTCTGTCCCATGTCCTTGTTGAGCCCGAGCTCACAGCAAGCCATCTCCAAATCCTCGGACTGCACGCTGTCGAGGGTACTGCGCCTGGAACTTGGTGGCGAGCTGCGGCTTCGTTTGTAGACGCGCGATCTCGAGCTCGAGCGCGACCTCGCCTTTACCCTCGATAGAGCTGTTCTGGTGAGAGGCGGCGAGGGCGGCAAGTCCGACCACTCGTGCTTCGACGACGAGGTTTTCGGCGTGGACGTGCCCCATTCACCGTTGACGACGTTGTTCGTCAGGGGCGGTGAACTCGCCACTTCGGACCAGTCGCCAGACTCGCGCCGACCGCCCTCCGATGCCGTGCGATACTCCTCGTCCGACGAAAAAAGGACCGAACGCCCCGTCAGACCCGTCAGTCCCGTCGACGTTGCAATAAAGTCCCTTTCGTGTTCCTCGATCGATCTGAAACATTGATCGATTTTTTTTTCTTTATTCATTTATCTTAACAATACATATTAATGTTACGAAAGAAAAAAGAAATACTCACGCCGTGGGAGACTGAATACTCATTTCCTCCTGTCTCTCCTGACAATTCGTGTGCGAATCGAGCGGATTATTGTCAGGATCCGGCAAATTGGCAGCCTTTCTGATGGCCGACATCCAGTTAGCCCTTATGCCAGCAGTTACTGCCGAGAGAACAGTTGTACCTCTATCGTCCCAAGTCTGTGCACACAGTTTAAACGAGATTGGTAGAATATTCCATTTGGACTCAATGGGATGAGACTAAAAAAAAAACAGCTTACTATCGTTTGAAAACCGTAATTCCGAGCCACTTGGACCGACGTGACAGCAGTGACGGTGTTCAAGTCGATAACCCCGTCCATGATCCCCTTGTCCTCGGCGCTGGGATCTCGATAGTACATGAGGCCACAGCCACGCAGGACGAACCAGTGTTTGTTCCACTCCTTGTTAGCCCCTTGCTTCATCAGCCAGCCCTTTTTTATGTTCAACAAATCCTCGGCTGGCAGATCGACCCTCAGCTCGCAAGTCGGAGAGTACCTGTTGCCCGATATGTCGAGCACGCAGCCGTCCGGATCTCCCCTGATCTGTTGAGCCAACAAATTAGACGAGATACATTTTAATGCCCGCCCACTGGACGTGTTATACGAGCGCGAGCACTTCGTGCACTTACGAGCTTATCCTGATGCGTGACGGCCGCGGTGTCCACGACGTCTCGCGTGGGCTCGGAGGCTCTCGGCTTGTTGCGCCTGACCCTGGGCTGCGTGAGCGAGGCCGCGATGTCGCGCAGCTTACCCTCTCGTTCTCTCTCGTGGTCCAGGAGGATCCTCCTGCACGCCTCATCGTCTGAACACCAAACGGCAACGGTTTTAGAAACCACCTGTCCCACTATCTCGGAAATCACGAGTACATACCTAATTTGTTGATGGTCTCGAGGGGCGCCGACACTGTGCGATCCAACGGTGGTTGCTGCTGCTGCTGCTGTTGGCCGAGCACCCGCCTGCGCGCCTTATCTTCGGCTCTGAGCTTATCCCTCGTGGGTGGTGACGCACTGCTCGCCGGCTGGTCCTTGTATGATCTGGCACTCTCGGCGCAGCTCGAGCTCTTGCAGATCGGTGGCTTTTCCGAGCACACGCTGCCGGCCAAACTCGTCGTCGCTGGGGTTGCACACGCAGGTGACGACGAGACAGCTGCTGTACAAGCGAATGCAGTCAAACAATATAGTCGCGAAACCGACCGAAATAAGTAATGGAAAAACAAAGAAAAGTACCGATGGGGGGCATCGTGCCGTTGATGGTGATGGACGACGTCGCGTACGCGTGCACGCCGGTGCCGTTCCTGAGGGGAGACGAGTTGATGTTGTTGTTATTGTTAACACTGGAGTCCTTGACGGCGAGCTGGTCGCACGAAACGTTCTCCTTGTTGTTGTGTCCAGTGTAGGTAGTCGCGAGGCCGTTCGTCGTGGAATTTTGCGGGGTAGTTGCCGTTGGTTTGGCGGTCGTTGTTGTTATTGACGGCGACGAGGCTAGAGAATCGCTCAGCGACGAGAACGCAGAATTGCAGAGGCTGCTCGTCGCTTCGGGTATCCACGAGGTGCTCGATCCTCGCGGCTCCGAGCGGCAACTGTTGAACCGCGGCCTCGAGGGATTCGGTGTGTTGCCTGAAAGCATCGTCGTTATATGATTGTTCAAGGTGTCGGGAGAATCGGTGAAGCTGGCACGCTGTAGTGGCACTTACTTCGCACCGTCGGTGTGATTTGGAGTATCGTTGTCTGACCACCTGGAAAGGTGGCGTTTCGCTTGTGCCGGCCCTTAAGAGAAGCAGCGATTAAATATACGTACAGTTGGAATGAAAAAAAAAAAAAAAAAAAAAAAAAAAAAAAAANAACTGCTTTTCAAACATGATGACAAAATATATATACGCTCTAAAAATGTACGGGTGAAAACCAATAGCGAAACAACCAATTTCCTAAACAGAACGATACAACGATTGAAAAAATCCGTTGTAACCCGTAGCTACACGCTATTTGTAATCCCCACCTTTAGTCCTAAAAATAGCTTAAAAAAAAAAAAAAAAAAAAGAAAAGAAAAGAAGAGATGGGCAACCTTGTTTCTCGAGTAGACTTGAAGCACGTCTGCCCACCATCTCGCCTCCTCTCGGCAGGTGCCCTTGATGAAAGTGACACCCTCGGGAGAAGTGATGGCGAGGCTGTAGGGGTGGCCGGTTACGTCTTCCGCGGCTGCGACCTCGAGGACACGGGTCATGTCGATCCTCGCCTGTGGTACCGTTTCCGGCTGCAATTTTTCATACATGTATGTATATATATACCTACGTCGGACATTTATTCGTACACGTACAAGGTATATGAACGCGAAAGCAACGCGTATACTATTCACGGTTGTTGTTGTTGTTGTTGCGCGTTGCTTGCAATAATAATGATACAACAACCGTGAATAGTATACGCGTTGCTCGCACCCATATCGGTTTACCCCGTGTGCGCTCTACTGGTGCATACTTATACATACTTGTATAATTATATTGCGCAGTTTCGATTGTCATAGGATATTGACGAGGATATTGGTGTGATTTTTTTTTAGTGATGTATAGCTCTGTCTGTATTAATTATCGCTTGCAATACATTATGATTAAACGTGACAATTTATTCGAGGCCAAAGACCGGTAAATTCGTATACTTATTTTTATAAAATAAAATGATTTGGTGAATTTTGTTTCCCAAAAAATCGATGATAAAAAAAAGAAAACAAAAAAGGTAAAATCTAAATCAGCAACGATGTTACACGCGGATGAAAAAAAAAACAAAAAAAACTTTGTTTCAAATATCGTTGGCTCATTTTGACCAAATGACGTATCGTATAGCAGCGGAGTACGATATTTCACGGCCAACGCGGAAATTGAAATATCAAACACAGCGCGTGACTTACATGTTCGTCCACGGAGTACGTCAGCTCGCCGTCGTCGTACAGAACGAACCACCGTCGTTGCCACCTCTGTAAATTTATTAAATACACACGTTAATGGCTCATAACTTTACAATTTTTTTTTTTATCAACAGATCACTGTGCACGACACAAACTTGGCTTATCCTTTTTTTTGTACACTCTATCTATTTTAAGTATCATTTTTTCATTAGATCACATACAAATTTTTTATTTCCAACCATTACTCCGTGATTACTATCCACCTACATGTACTTAACTTTTTCAAATTTAATCTAATTAAATTCAAGTTTTATATCTTATATTTAAAAAATAGATTAAATCGAAATTGTATTCTTTATCAGTAACAAGTATATAAAAAAAAACAAAAAAAAACTTCCTCTATGTACGAGGAAGAAGACACGTGTTCATCATTGGCTGACTAATGAATTTTCCTTACACCTCCGCCGAAAGTTCGTTCCATCTGACCCGATTTTGAGCTAGAAAAAGCCTCATAGTTCATAGTCCTGCCATATGTGCGCAGAACGAAGTGCGCAGATATATATAGTTATATATTCAGCACCGACTCGGTGCCACCGAGAACTGATCTG